CTCATCTAAGTAAAAAGCAAAACAATAGCAAGTGGGAAAAGATAACATTTTTCTTTCTTACGTCCTTTATGGTAAAATATATATATGATGCTCGTTGCGGATTCAGAAAAATGTAATAATTTGAGCAACTGTGCACAAAGTCATTGCAATCGTATGGCTGGTTTCTTGGTTTGTTTGAATTGGCAAATGCTTGCAAAATGATTAAAAACACATCAACCACTAATAGCACTTACTATTCTTCAAACAAAGAAAACTATAGTTTCAAGCATGAGACAAATTACCACATTTTTGCTGGCAAAAAAACGAGATTTTTTTTAATTTGTCACTTTGTAATACATATGTGCACATCATACTTTTCAGACTGAATAATTCCAAGACCATGTGTCTAGTATTAACTCCCTTTAAAAAGTGATTCTGTCTCGTTGAATACAAGAGAAGCTAGCAACAATTCTTTTTTAATCGAGAAATTCAACATAGAACCTTTGCTATCATTATTCTGTTTGGTTGTTTGTCACATAAGTTGTCGATATGCTTTAAAATGTGATTTTATCTGACACAATAAACTCTTAACATTATATGTGAGACTGAATGAAAAGTGGCACCAAAATTCTCTAAATTCTTCTTGTGCCGAGTGCAAGAGAGTGTTATCAGGCCAATACGATAGTTGTCCAACTGATTTACCGAGAAATTTGGCTTATTTGTGTCGAAATTTTTTGTACAAAAACTTTTGAATATGAAGTGAATGACGGCATTCACGCCGAATGATGAGAATAATGTGGCCGAATGTGCTCTTTCTAACATTTTCACAAGTGTAGTGTAAATCAATTTTTAAACGTGTTTTTACGCAGTGTAATGTGCTCTCTGCAAGACTGATGTCGGATATTTGTCGACGTTGGCTGTTTTTGCCGTTCTGTTACAACCCATAATGCGATTCTAATATATGTATGCGACTCTCCGATTCGAATTTGCCAAAGTTTTTCTGGCTTTGGTGCTTCTCTCTCTCTCTCTCTCGCTCTCGCTCTCCTCAATGGCAAAGCGAATGGACTCCAAAATGCTTGCAAACAATAGATAAAAGTGAACACTTAATATCATTGAAAAAGTTGACGGTTTTTTTTCTTCATTTCTAAAGCGTTATGGAACAACATGAATGCAAACACTCGATATGACTTCGTATAACATATTTTCTGTGCGAAACCATTGCAGTTGACTTACTAGCTTTGTGTGTGAGCAAGTGTGTTGGGTTTTGTCTATGCCACCACCATCATCGCTTGTACGCTCTTTTCGAGCATGCTGCACTTGTAAAAATTTTCAACTTTTCTGCTAAAGCAGAAGGAAGTGATAAAATATGAATTTCAATATTACCACATAATAAATTACTTATCAGCTTTTTTTATTGTTGTTGTTGTTTTTGGACGGGATGAGGGTGTTTGCAGTCGTTCGCTTTTCTCAACGTCAACATTTTACGGAGTTGGCGTGTGAAAACAAACGATCTTCTTTATTTTTCGTTTCTTCGTGCACTTTTATTTCGCTTTTTCGAAGTATGTACAACAATAAATTACATATTGCGAATAACGAATGGCGTTCCCAAATGAAAAATGCCCCGTCTGATGATATTCTGCTCGCACTTGCTTTGACTCTTCTTACAATCAAGTACAAGCTGCCGACATTTTTTTTTTTATTTAAATGATGAGAATCGATGAAAGCGATTCTTCTATTTCGATTTTTATACCCAATTTTAAATATTTGCCTCGATTCAAATATGCATTTATCTTAAGTCAAAAAATTTGTATTTTAAAAGCTTCTAAAAAAACAACTTTTTGATCCTAATAAAAGTGAGAAAACAGCCAGTTTAGTCTGTAAAATATATGTAATCTCTCTCACTCTAAAGACATTAAGAAAAAAAAATGCAATTTAAATTTCCAGCATCATGTATGATAATGACGACAACAGTGTTGATTTCTATTGTTCCGATTCAAGATTGTCAACATTTCTGCATAAGCTGGATAGAGCAGAAACATTGAAAACTAATTGCAAGTGATGACAAAAACCCCGAGCGAAGCCAAAACATGATGAATTCAAAGCCAATGATATGTACCATATGCAATTGAAACCGCAAAACACATATTTAGTGTAATGAAGCCATATCGTAACAATTACAGCATAAGAAAGCATTAATGGTGTTGTGTATCTGCCAACAAAACTTAAAATGAGCCGTACATATTAATCAGTTTCACATTGTTGAGTGTAACCCGAAATGGGATGCTCCTAGGGGATGATTTCACCGCATTTGAATTTTCCAAAATGATGGGCTTTCGCATCGCCAACAACAATAATAAATCAAATTGTATCATGTGATATGACGGACCGAATAGATTTTGATCTGAAGGAGAGAATGAGTAAATGTGATTTTCCATGACATCCAATTGTTATTCATATGTTCTAATTAGATGGACATTTTAGTTATGCATGAATGATTGTTCTCAATTTTGGACCTTGTTCATTTTGCACAAAGCAGAACAACAATTCCCCAACGCACCTGCGATAACACACATACGCACGTACACGTAGTGAGAACAAAATATCTATTGTCGGACAACGTGTAATTTTGATTTTGATCCTGTCATTTTGGGTCCAAACAATTTTCCGATGCCAAAAAATAAAATCGTTTTTCTTTCTTCATTAAAGTTTGTTGAACATTTCAAATTCAAATGATGTGTGTCGAATAAATGTCGAATGGTAAATTGGTTATATGACGAAGTGGGTGTGAAAAGCGCCACTCTAATATAAATTTAGAAATTGAAACAGCACCGAGAAAAAAAAACACTTGTATATTTATTAAGTTGAGATTAATTCTGAGTTAGCATTAAAATTCTTGTTTTATTTATATAGAGATTTTCGAATCGAGACAAGCTTTACACATACGCACAACATCGGCGTCACACTATTAATTAAAGCTGTGCTGCGTTAGTGCGCATTTGGAAAATCCTTCGTCAAATTGATTCCGTTCATTTATTTTGGTGTGTATGTTGTGAAAATGCGTTGTGCTACACTAAATTTTCTTTTCGCTACACAGAGTTTTATGCTTTTTTACACCAATAAAAACAACAGCGCTCTCTCTCTCTCACTTGCTCATTTCACAAGAACAATACGTATCAGATGATGTTATGGGTTATTCGTTATGGCTGCATGGTTTTTCATTTACAGGCACACACACACACACAATCGCATTCGCTCCCACATCTCACTCTCACACGTATTTGGAAAAGGCACTGGGACCGTTCCACATCTCTCTCTTATTCTGACTGCTCTGACTGTTGTTTTGCCACAATTTATCTTATTTCGAGAATGTGCTGAGGAATTTCGCCAAACACGAAAAGTAATTTAAATTGTTTTGTGCCAGTGGAACGAAAGCGCATACGAGACGAGAGACAGATACACATACATATTCCTGGCTGTGAGTGATGTCTTTAAATCACACGGTACGAACGAACAATTGTGTGAAATTTAACATAAAATCTTCCGGACCGACGTCTCTGTCGCCTCTGTCCCATATTTCAGTAAAACGTAAACGATATTTATTTTAACCATTCTCAATGCTCACAAGCTCAAAGGATAACGAATTTTCTTGTTTCTATTTTTGTTATTCTTGCTCGATTGCTCCGCAAGTCAATGCGAGAGGCGAATCTTCTTTTTTTCCCTCTTCTCGTGTGTGTGTGTGTGTGTCTCCCGCACTCTGAGATGGAGTGTGGAAAAAGTCCATGTTTTTGTTTTCGATTTGCATGTTGATATGAGTTAGTCGTATTCGTACCAACTGTACATTATACATTTCGGTTTGTAATGTTGTCAAACTCATAAATAAATTTATGCATCCAACAAAATCCAACAAAAGAATAACGTGCACAAGAGAAAGAGATGAATAGAAACAGAAAATGTGAGCAGTAGAGCCGGACTGAAACAGAAACGATTCATAAGTTTCGAATAAATTTTGCGAATATCGAAAGCGATGTGTGTCATGCTTCATCTATGTGCACATTTTGGTTTATCATCATATTTCATCGCATGAATAATAGGTATTTCAAGCTTCATTGATTTAAATCGAATTGAATGAATTTTTCTCGTCCGTTTGGTATCTACAAAGCCAGCAAACAACTTCGAAATGAAATTTTATGTTTTAATGCACTGCGCACCGAATAAAATGTATATATCAATCTCATAATGCACACGACCACTTCGTCACATCTGAAATATGTTTTCAAGCGATAAAGGCATCAAAAAGTTGATGCACAACACATGCACAATACGAAGGGTTCATATAGAAGAAATGTATACTCATGTATGCTCATGCATTTGATTGCAATGAAAATTTGAAAATTAGTCAACATGTTCCTGTAAATCAGCTCATCAATATTGAAGTTAACATTGATTACCTGTTCAAATTTACAATGTTACTTTTGTCATTACCAATTTAATAGACACTTTACCAATTGAGTTCTTTCAATTCGAAATTAACTATGTGGGACATAATACAACTGAATGGATCGTACAATCGAACGCATCAAATATTCTGCTCACTTTTAAAAAAACGGGAGAAAAAAACCGGCGAACGAAAAAAGAAGTCAAGAAAAAAACATCAAAGCAAAATTATCGCTGTTGCAAGCGAAAATCAATGAGCGACGCATTCCTTTAAAATATTGCTTGAGCATAGCAAAAAAAAAATCATCAGCATAAAAAGAGCAAATTTAACCAATTCTTTGCGCCAATGCACAAGCAAGACTGCACATAGCGTACATGCAAATAATTCTCTTGATGCGAAGCACATCTTGCGTTCAAGCCATCAAGCACTTTATTATGTGTTTGAACAGTAGTTGATTCACTACACACGTACATTCATTTCACTTCATTTTATCGCAAAATGTTGAATATTCGCCAGATTTTGTAATTGTTTTTTTTTTTTTCTCTGTCGCTTGGGATTTAATTTCTTTCTATTGTTATTGTTCTAGATGCAGACACCGTTTTGAAAACGAACACAACCGGACTTTGTTTAATGGACGTTCATACGCTTGTTTATGATGTGCAAATTGCATAGAAATCATTTTGTTACACAACTACCACAATGGATATGACAAGAATGCCGTCAATATTCCGTGAAAAATATCCCATGAAATTATACGTTCGGTATTTAAGCCGGCGAAGGAGTCAACACTACAGCATATCGATGCTATTTCAACATATTATTGGACTAGTTTTTATAGTGATAATTGTAATGTCATCTGATGTTTACGGTAAGTTGGTACTAATAATGAAGCTTTTACACTTCCATGGAAAAATAAATTCAATCGAAAAATATGCGAAATTTCATTGTTCGGTCCATTCACAGCAATAACAACAAAACGATTCAAGTTAGGAAACGACAATCTGGTGCTGTTCCATTTTTACAGTGTTACATGGTAAAAAATTAATGGGGCATTTAATTGAGAGAGGGCATTACTCTAGCATTTGTCATGGTTTATGAACTGATGTGACATTAGTCAGACATGGTCCCGCATTTTCACATTGTTAACGCTGAATTTAGCATTCGTATGAATTTTTATTGTTGTTGCGTGCTTTTCGTCTCAAAAGTTTGAATCGTGTAGCCGGAGATTATGATTGCTTCCGTTGCATGAATTCAACAAAAATGGTGAAACACGTGTTGCGGCATGCTCACGAGCCAGATTTTTCAACACACGTTGACACGTGGATAAAGCGATTAGAGTGACATCGCCTCCACAAGGAGTGATGTTTCAAATGCCATTTTTTCTATCTCTTCCTCTTTCTCTCTCTTTTCCTCTTTCACTCTCTCTCTCTCTCTTTCTCTCTTTCTTTCTCGAATGACTGAGCTCCACGCTCTTTTCCTGAACGAAGGCTATTTTGCCTTTGAGTGATTTCGAGGGCTTTGCACACCTTTTGTGTCTTATTTTAGCACAAGCTTATAATCTTTGTTTTCGGCTTTCGAACAATTTCACTCAGAATTTGAATCACCACAAATGAATACCTAACCAATTTTTGAATATTTGTATATTTAAGATTTAATAGTGACTGAAAAACCACAAAAACATTAAATTCGCTGTGATGGACATTTCACTTTACTCTGATTTTTGCACGGTCTTTCTCGGCTCCCGCTCTGTATGTATGTAATCACATACATTATTAAATTACCATGGGATTTAAATGCATAAAGAGTATTTCAACTAAAAGTGAACACGTGTACCGCGAGTTAAAAAAAACCAGACGGGCAACGATGACCATAAGAATTGTTAATTGTTGTTCGGCTTATGCTGAAAGATACACGGTACAGAAACATTGGAATTCAATTTACTTTGAAATTTGGCAAATTCAGTTAACATACAGTCCAGACATATATTGGATAAAACCGTTCGACTTTAAAAAACAATATTTGTTGTATGTTTTTCTCATTGGACATGTTGTTCTGTGTGTTTTTTCCTTTTTTTTCTCTTTACATTTCATATGCGTATATGCTGCATCGAATTTCAACGATTTCGGGGGATATGAATTACGAAATGGGTAACGGTGGAAAAAAACGCATGTAATACGATTAAATAAAAACAGCAGCAGCAGCCGCTTCATCGTTTGAACCAGACTTTGTATTCCCACTGGAAAATGTAACAGTTGCACAAGGACGTGACGGTTTGTATTTAAATAAATCAAATAAAACACAATATTTTGCACTCCAGTACAGTGAATAAAAAAAACACATACACAAAACAAAAAGATAGAGCACGGTGCAACACAGAAAATCGCAAAGCCATGTGAACGTTCATCGTCAAACGCAAAAAAAAGCGACAACAATAAAACCTGACCAAAATAACATTGACGTGAACTCAATGGTTGGGTGTATAGTATACATCGTACAGGCGGCTCATAGAATGGAGCGGCAAAAATGTAAGCTCATTCACGGTGAAGCAAACAAAAGACTGGCGCGGTAATCGGAATCCACAAAAAAAGAACTTTTTTTTGTACATAGGAAAATTAGCACTCGCAGTTCCGTCAACCACAAAAAGTGAAAATATTTCAAGCACATGCAAAATATGCGATGCATTTTTCTCGGTGTGTGTGTGTCGGGTTTGCTCTCTTACTCGTCCCTCGTTGGCGAATTCGCTCGTTGGTTCGAATTGAATTTGATTCGCTTTTAAAAATTAGACCTTTATTCTTCGTCACATTTATTTGTTTTGTTTTCTATTGAATCTTGCATCTCTTTTGTACTTGATGACGATACCGTTTTTTTTCCTAATAAAAAAATTCTTTCCTTTCGTTCGTTTGTGTGTTTTTTCTTTGTCTTTTTTTTAGCCACATTTACATGTGTTGTCAACAATTTAGGCGGTTACCGGGTGAGTGGAAGCTTGAGTGGTGATGGTGCGCAAGCAGCTAGGGTACGTAATGTGTGTCCGAGTTTTGTAGTTTATTGATTAAAACTTTGCACTGCATTGATTTCTCTTAATCGAAACACTCTTATCCTCACCAAAGCAAGCAACAACAAATGCACACAAAATTTTACTCACACAGTTTTTGCACTCACACGCACTCGCTCACGATGCACCTATTAATTTTTACAACCAAATAATAATAATGATTAACGAAAGTATTTAAATAAAATACACACCCGGAGAATTTCTCATTTGAATGCAAACTCAAAGCGCACTTGAGCATCACAAGCACTCTGCAATTTTTTATTACACATTTCTGTTTCTTTCTGTAAAAAAACGTATATACTCGAATCGGAATTCATTTTTTTTTTTTTTGAAAAACCTAAATGATGCACCGACACCTGCACATGCACCTGTAATCACATACGCACATCTTATGTACTCTGCACTTTCACCAAATTAAAAAGAAAAACACTGAAACAGGAAAAATGTGTGTAATTTGTTCGATTTTTATACATAAAAACACATACACAAAGCGAACAAATGAAGCACTTGTTAACTTGTGAAAATTCTTCCTTTCTGTCTGGTACTTTTTTACACCTGCGGTAGTATCGCACCTTGTTATAGCGTTGCACTTAAGATCTTTTCTTCTAGCTCTCTTTTATTTTCCATTATTATTGCTCACCACACATACACAAAAAAAAGAAATGGTTTGGTGGGCGCGCGCTTGCAAGAGAAAGAAAAACTCAGAGCATTTCGTTTTCATTCATAAAGTAAAAACGGCACTGAATTTTATAGCCATAATTAAATGGATGTAAGTTAAGCTTAATTCACAAAATGACAATGGTTTGAAAAAGTGGGAAGCTTGAACAACAAAAACCATTCTTAGTTTGCCATTCTTGACTACAAATTATAATGAAAATGGAGAATGCATGGGGAAATGAGTAAGGAAAAAGCACTATATTGAGGTTTTTTTCCTCTTTATATTTATGTAATTCTAGCAATTAACGTAAAATTGACTTTTTCATTCGACACTCCTGCGGAAGATACTGTTTCCGATTTTCTTTGAAGTGTCATTGGGTTAATTTTTTAAATTAACATCTATAATTGGCTATGTATAGCAATATCTCTTCGAGCGAAAATCAGATATATTTTTTTTACATGTACAGCGGTTATTTTTTTGGGCTTATCACTGAATCAATGCAGTGGATTTTTACTGACATTTTATATGTGGACATTTTTTGCCAATGATGTTTTAATTCAATATTACTATGGAGAGTTTCGATTGTAATTGGCACTTGTTTAAACAATCAATTCATTTTATAAAATAAATATGGTAATTTGGTGAAGCCAAGCTCTTATTGTTTCCGCTTTTCAGTATTTTTCGTAATGAGCACAAATGAGGATATTTTGGGTTTTGTACAGATTCTATGAATTTTGTCTAATTCAATTGTATGTAAATGTTAATCTGAATACGTTGTTCATTCGAAACAAAATTCACATACATATAGGTATGAATTAAAGAAAAAATCAATATCACTATTGTTTACTTCTCTTCCAGGAATGCCAGTTAATTAATATAAAATATAAAGCGGTTTTTCATTTACAACGGTTTTATTTGGTGGTTTTATGATTTTAGTTTATATATCCAATAACGTCGTTCAATTGATAAAACCTAAAAACTATTTGGCTTCCCCGACCATTTTGCTCTAAATAATTGAATTTAATATGTTTTATAAACGAGAGAAAACCACTTAAAAGCAATCGAAATTCAATTTCTACGTAAAAGCCTTTCGCCGCCAGATCAAATGAACTGTGATTCTGTGCACTAATTAGGCAATCTCACCGCACATACTGTACAGTGCGCTGCACACTTCAACAATTGTGCTGCCGGATGGTAAATGTCTCTATCGTTAAATGTAATTAATAATATATGCATTTAAATTCCACATATATTCAATATACATATATATATTGTTGGCATTTAACGCTGATTGTCATCAACCTCAATTTATCTGAATAAAAGATTTCGTTTTTCGGGTAAATACTTCCGGCGGAAAGTCTATTTTCGATATTATACACTGCATTCAATGCTTGATGACGCTACCAAATTAATTATTTAGAATGTCACACCATCAATGATCGAAGTAAATTTACTATTTTGTGCCATTTTGCCACTTCCATTTTTAAGCGAGAAACGCAAAAATTGGCATTGTATTATAAATGAGGAAGGTCATCTAGGTTTTATAACAGACCACCTTTTAGATTTTATTGGCATCGGTTTTTCAATCGGTTTGGTAATCCGAACCATTTTTCATCTCTCTTTGAACTTAAAATGTACTACGTGTGGTTAATTAACGATGGTTTCTGTAAGAGTTGAATAAATATTTTTTCAGCATGATTTGAATTGCATAAATAATAGTCAGGTTTTAGTTGCTTTTGTAATGCATGTTATCTATGAGAGCATTCAGTATTGGTTATGGAAAATGAAAACATAAATATATAAACACTTCGAAGTGTGGCAAAAGTAACACTCATGGTAACACTGATTTTTATATTTGGGATGCTTTCTTCGCAATTTGGCTGTAATTTTCCAAAATTTGAAATTTTAATTTGGTAAAAGTTGAAAAATTGTATAATTTTGTTGGTCGCCATGTCAAAAAAAAGCTTCCCAAATACATTGTTCCTCTTTTTGTATTTCAATTCCATCACAATTCTGCAATGCTCAATAATGTATATCCTTTGGAATAGATTGCACTGGCCAATTATTTTGAAATGATGTTATGTGATGACTGTGTGATTCCGAAATCAATTTTTCTACTTTATAATATCTGCGGTTATTTTGATCTATCAACATGATTGCCTAGGTTGCGTTCATAAAAGCTGACACAAAAGCAGTCCTGGCCATACACGAACATGTCATCACGAATAGCGATCGTCTGTCTGTCACCCATAACGATTTCAACACATGGACTTTGGTCATTCGAAATGTCCGAATGGAAGATCGCGGACAGGTAATTCAGTATTTTCATTAGAAATTTAGCCCAATTATACAATATACACAAAATAAATAAATCATTTCATCTATTTACAGTATATGTGCCAGGTAATTCAGTATTTTCAGTAGAAATCTAGCCCAAAATATACAAATAATAAATGAATCATTTCATCTATTTACTAACTGAACTAAAGGTGAACACTGATCCGATGAAAATGCAAACGGCATACCTGGAGGTGGTAATTCCGCCAGATATAGTTTATGAAGAGACCAGCGGGGACATGATGGTGCCTGAGGGAAGTTCAGCAAAATTGGTGTGTAAAGCACGAGGTTTTCCAAAACCAAAAATTACATGGAGACGCGAGGATGGTAGAGAAATTATCGCACGAAACGGTCCGCATGGTAAATCAAAAGGTATACAGGTTCAGGACACGTCAACATGATTTAGTGTGCAAATCGGTAAAATCGGTATGTCTTTTGCAGCGTTAGCGGTCGAAGGTGAAATGCTTTGGTTAACCAAAATCACACGGTCCGAGATGGGAATTTATCTTTGTATCGCATCGAATTCGGTGCCGCCATCGGTGAGCAAACGAATAAAATTGCAAATACATTGTAAGTAATTGATATTTATAAAATGTAAACAAAAATACAATCAATAGAAAATTGATAGGAAAATATCGACAAAAATCGTTTACGTTGGAAAACAAAACCATCGCCGAACAAAACGATTATTGTGAAAACAACGTCGATATTTTCTTCAATTGAATAATATTTATTTTAAATTATTGGCTCATTTTGACAATTGTTTGAACGTCGTCGGATGTGAATGCAAATTGTTTGTGTTTGAATCAATTTTGTCAGTGAGATGAAAATCGAAATCCGTTCTCTCATATTTCCATATATAATATTCAAATGTGATGTACCGATAAACGTTCAGTTTATGGCATCTCTGTGGCATTCAATCTTCTTCTGTTCATTCTCATTCCTCGTTCACCACCACATCATCTTCTCGGTACGAACATGTTTATCGAGATAACTGAAAGAAAATAAAATCTTGCTATGATATTTGCATACGCAACGCGAGCGCAACAGAGTTTGAGGATATGTAGTAAATGTCATTGCATTTCAATTTTCTCGCAAACATACAACTGTTTTGCGAACACATAAAAAGCGATCAATCGAGTTTCAATGCGAAAAAAAGCGCGCTCACACACAGAGACTAAAAAACAGTTCCATAAAAACAGCAGCCAAACCATTTGGTGGAAATAAGCGGCGAAAAGCCGACAACAAAATCTATTTACATATCCGTTTGCATCTGCAATTTCAGCTGGAATTCATGCCGCTTTATCTTGTAATAACGCCACAAGGCATAAATCGGCAAATATTATGATACAAAAATGACGGAGCATGTAAACGGGCCACCGACAAAAAAAATACATTCCATTAAAGTCTAAAAAGTGATGAAATGAGTGAAAAATCAATCGATTTTTCCATTCGATTTCGATTTTATTCGGTTTTATATCGACAATTTATCGATGATATTTTTCGATGTGGAGTAGTTTATAGTTAAATGCCAATATCAAAATGCAATTGTGAAAATATTTCAATACTTACTGTTTTGACCGAATCATGTGTTACTTATGTTTTTACAGCGAAATAAAAATCACGAGCTGGTTTCCTTTTTGCATTCAGTTAACCATAACTGCAAAGGATCCGCTTCGCATTCGGATATCTGATTCAAATAAATTCACACATTTGTTTATCACGAATCGAAAACTTAAACCGAATGACACATCAGCAAGAATATTGCAAGCATGCCGGCAAAAAGTTATCAAAAGCCAATCAAATGAAATGGTTTTTCTTGAACACAATTTCGGTTTGAACGCGCACGCAAAGAAGAAAAACAAATAATCCACTAGACAACGAAATAAATTTTGTTTCTCAAATTATTTGAACGGTCTCTCCTCTCATTTTGACTTTGGAGTTGATCTTGTTCATAATTTTTGTTGAAATCGTTTTTGGATATGGATATCGAGCCAATTTTGAACAAACGAACAGCACCATTTCAAAACCGAATCTACGAAAACAAGAATGGGAAAAAACTTTTCCACACGAGCATACGAATGTTGATGCAATCGAAAGGAAGAGAGCGAAGAGAGAGAGAGAGAGCTGGCGAATGAGGGACGCGTGCAAAAATTCCACGAAAAGTAAACTTGAAGCGCAAGTAATGCATGCAAGAAGATATAGATTTGTGTTATAATGCGACGATGTGTACAAAAAAGAGAGTGTGACGAGAGCGAGAATGAAAGAGGCAAAAGGCGAAAAGTTTATATTGTATAGACAAATTTCATTGTTGTTATTATAATTCTTTCGTCGTCGTTTGCTTCTCGGTTAACGCTTTTTCAACTTATTTTGCCATTTTGTGAGCATACAAACATTTTTTTCTCTTGCTCGTCGTCTGTTTCTTGCTTGTTCGTCTTCGCGCTCACTTTTGCTCACTTCTTAAATGCAAACAATGAAAAGAACAAATCCGAAACAAGCGGAAAAAAAAATTAAAATAATAACAACACAACACGAAAATAACTTCCTTGTCGTTTCTACCTACCTTCAAACAACTATTTCATGAGTAGAAAACAAAACGTCTGAACCCATTTCGGAGAGAGACGAACCAGTGTCGTGCGACGATAATATGAGAAAACTTTATGCTGTGTTGTTTTTGTTGGTGGAATTGTGTTGTGTGTTTGTGTAAGAGTTTGCGTTTCACAAATTCTTCCCAAACATTCAAGATCTTCGGTGAACTGTCTGTCGATTACAGTTCCTTTTCCCATTTCGTGCTGTATATTTTTATTTTGTTTTTCTTCTTGTGCTCATGGTTGTGTGCTATTTGTTTCTATGTTTCATTCAAGCCACCCCCGTTATTCATCTTATTATTTAATATTTGTTCGAAAAAATATTAAAAAAGTTTTTCGATCTTCACTTGCGGTACATTACAATCAACACTTACAACACACCGAACAATACAATAGAACTTGGTGCACGGAGTTATGTTGCAAGAATGAGAAAAATATTCTTACATAAACTTATTTTCTATTGGGTCATGCATTGGCTAATTGTCTTAGTCCTTTTGTTTACAACAACTTCCGCTACATTCATATCGATTTTATGTATGAAAACGAACCATTCATTCTTCTTTTGTTTTTTTTTTTTTTTTTTTTTTTTCATTGTCTCGTCACACAGTTCATCCATTGATACAAGTACCAAATATGCTGGTCGGCGCACCGCTTAGTGTGGATATAACGTTGGTTTGCAATGTAGAAGCATCTCCAAAAGCCATCAACTATTGGCAACGTGAAAATGGTAAGCGCATTGTTGAAATATTCATATGTTATTAGAAGTAAATCACAATATCATGCACCCATATCAATTATTCCCGATTATGCTATTCACTTTATGACAATATATTTAGGCTTCGATAAAAAATTTACATGCAAAATTGTTTTAATGTCTATCGTCAATCCAGTGTAAATTATATGTTAAAATGTCATTATATTTTTTTTTGGTATCATCCAAAAAGTTGATGGACTCGCTATTTTGCTGGAAGCAATTTTTTTTCTCTCGTTTAATGTATGAAAGCGAAAAAACCATTGGGAGTAACAAAAAATAAAAAAAGAGCACCATGGTCGAGAGATTATTATTTAAAAGCATTTTATTTTGGTCAGAGTATTTCATTTCAAAATTAATTTATTATTATTTAATGCGCTTCGGGCTTTTTTTGATACTTTTTATGGCAACGACTGACTTTGTGAATTTTATATATTGGATTATTATTAAATTCTCTCCCATTTGGATCTCATGTGTCTCCTTCTTTTGCATTATTTTATCGTTGTCGCCACTGATACTGCCGCTATTACATCCATCCTTGTGCACTCTGCATGCAAACGTCGATTTTGGGCAAATGCATGCCGACACCGTGACATGACCCGAAAATCAACAATAGGCGAGATGATAATACCAAATGACCGTTATGTGATGCATGAAATTGAGAACAGCATGTATGCCGTACAGATGACACTTACAATTAAACTCTTGCAGAAACCCGATTGTAAGTTTTCTTTTTATTGCAAATGTCCATCGTATTCAATATTTTTTTCGAATTTGATTTTACGCGACTGTTAAGTCGGTGGATACCGCTGCATATCAAAGAACAGTATAGGTGGCATTGAGGCTACAATCAGGTTATATGGTAAGTTAAATTTTAAAAAAGGTTTCTTTGACAAAAATATCCAAATTTGTGAAATGAACCAGTGAAATTGCCGCTAGAACCAAAAAAAGAACCCCATTTATTTCAAATTGAAAAGTTATCTATTTTGTCGTCAATTTCGTTGTAATAACTTTTTGACGAATGGTCAAACAAAAAAGTGAAACATCGCAAAAAACTGAAAGTTATATGACACAAATATGAGAAATTGAGACTTCATTACTGCTTCAATTTAACAAATAAACTGTGGAAAATGTAAAGTTGATCCATTTCGTAAAACCCCTCTCCGAATGTTGTTCATCATCAAACATCAAATGTCATCACAACGTATCCAAACGTATCACAAGGGAATTGTAAATTAAAATGATGACTCAAAAGTATGACGTTGAAAATAGATTTGGCAATTTATTCTTTTTGATATCATTTTATTCCACATTTTTGGTGTATTGGTCTTCACGGCTTTACGCGAAAAGTTTTCAAATTAATCTCTCGGAATTATTCCACGCTTTACATTGATAACAGAAGAGAGGCACTGATAAAGAGACACAGAGAGAGAGAGACCAAAAACTGGTAAAAACTTCCACAATTTTCCTTTTTTCAACAAGAACAAAAAACTCTGTCAGAAATGCGCCATACCTTCTCCACAATAAAAACTTGAATGGCTCAAAACAAAGTGAATGAAAATTCGAAGTGTTGTTTTCTCCCCCAATCCTTATCTTTTGAGATCACCGTGATAAAAACATTGTTTATAAAGCAATGGCCCAAATAATCTCCATTTTTTTGCGTTATGTTCTTATTATTATCAACTGAATGTAACTTTTACGGGCGAAATGTTTAATTGTGTTGTCAGCATTGTAACTTGTAATGTAAAATTATCTCCCATGTTTTCTTGTTATTAGTTCTGTAAATTGAATTTAATGTGTTTTGTTTTTATTTATGCGTCAAATTGTGCCATATTGCAAAATCCACACAACAGAAATGGAATTGACAAAGAAAAACAAGCATCAACGGCTCAATTTGGACGATGACGTAAGTAATACACTTCAAACTTTTTATTCAATACCTACTCTTTTAGTCAATACTCATTCAGATAGTTCTTGCTCGACAAATAAAATGCTTTAAATCTTGATTTGATTGCCCTACGTTTTTATGATCTTCTTTTATTTATTTATTTTTTTGCACTCTCTCTCTCTCTCGCATTTTTATTTTCCGTAATTAGGGAAATAATTTGCCGAATGACGATTCGAGTGAGGATGGAATTATTAATAAAAATGGTCGGCTGTATAAAGTACAGCTCGGCGAAGACGGTGACGAGATCGACGATGTGAACAGCAGTGCATCCACTTTAAATATTCATCAACGAGAAGAGCATCGGACAACGATTGCAAAAAGCACACCAAACTCAATATTACTTTCAAGTATCATTTTGTTATTTGCACTCGACTTTTTATTGTTACCTGTTTTAAGTATCTACAAACAGCGAATGATACGTCGACTATTCCGTTTACTATAGTCACTCCATTCTATCCAAAGTATTTGAATATTTTTCCGCCTCTGTTTATCCAAGTTTTCATGTTCTCATTCAATGGGAATTTTTCGATATATTTTTTTTTCATCACGGAAATCGCATTGTTTGTGTTTTACTGTTTTGTAAAAAAAAGAAGTATAGAATATGTATAGCAAATTCAGATATCGACAAAGTGTGTATCATAAAATAGAAATTTATCCTGCATATTGAATTTTCGTTGGATTGCATTGAAAATCGAAATGGCTATAAAAATTAAATCATTTTACAACAGAGAGAAACTAAAACGAGGTCAAATGGAATGTATATTTTTGTTTTGTTAGTTTTCATTCGTCTCAAATAGGCCAAGTGAAATGATTCGATTAGGTTTATTTCTATTCAGGACATATCAATGTTATAACGATTTGAAAAACTAAAATTACTCGAACTTATGTTATTCTTTTTTTTGACGAAATTGCTCAAATTTTGTTCGATACAAAAAATTTATTACAAACTCATTCTACAAAAAAAAAATAAAAAAAAGTGCCAAATCGTAAACAACCCGTTGTACGACATTTTCCATCGTTTTAAACAAAAAAAAGAAGAAAAAACTAAATCAAATAAACCAATCCAACAAATTTTGGACTGATACTCTGCTCAATATAACGGTAATATTCGATAATCAATTGAACAATTATATTATCATGGATTCGATCCTTTTGCCAACATCAATGTGAGACCAACACTAAAACATAGACATACGCATAATTATACTGTAATGCTTGGGCTCATGTATGCCGATCAGGCGGCGTTTAGATTATGCGATGTTTTCCGGTGAGATTATCAATAAATTGAGCATGTAGTTAATTGGAAGCTCAATATTTCAGAGAATAATCGTAATTACGTTATTTCTATAAATGAGGAACAAAGTAAATGGAAAAAGAATAAATCAAGTTATGCAATATGAAATATTGTACTAATTTAAAGAAGTGGCTGCACGATTAGTTCGTGTCCATCGTTTATAATATATGAACAATTGTATGGCATTTATTATATAGAAAATTAAATAAAAGTATAAGAACTGAGACGGCCATGTCTATAAATATGCATATGGATATGCAAGATAAATAAGATAATAACGAAAATCAATATTGATTAGATTGGTTGGATTTTATAAACAGTTCTATAATTCTCGGTTACATACACGATGGTCCTTTGAGATTTATCCGTACATTACAATTGCAAAATCAAAATCGACATTTAGATTTGAACGGAATTCCATTTAAAGCGCTTGTAATTTACTGCCAATTTCAATTGAACCACCGCCAGCATTAGCCAGACCTATTAATCTGTAAATGAAACAATCAAACCATTCTAGTGTTGATTTAAACAACGTATTATGTAATAATTCGATAAAATTACACGGCATAACACATACTTCATAAAAAAACATATGAAAATTCAAAAACAAGCCAGCTTATTTGTTCCTGAATTGGATAATGTCAATGGCATCTTCGTATGAATATGCCAATAAATCTGTACCAAGAAGAAATAAAGTACCAATCTTAACCAACAAATATTTTTTCATTGAAAAGCAAGATCCGAAACGTCTTATTTACAGATTTGTTACCCCAGGAACATTCATTTGATTCTTCTATAAAAACTAACTGTTCAAAAAAATCTCAAAGGTGAGTTTAAAAGGTTTTATATATCACTGGTGAAAGTGATAATGCGTGAAAAATCTTTTCAAACTACATTCAATTTCTTGGAATTTTTTTTCCGAGTTTTGGTTAGAAACTAAAACCAGGTAATCTACTTTGTCCTGGGGGAAAGACACGGGCTCTAATATTGCTCTTTTTTCCTATTTTTTTTTTTAGGAAACCCCATATAACGTGTACATTTGACAGGACCTAATAAGGCCTCATTTTTCTTAGTTTTTTTTAGTTTTCCAGTTTGTGTGTACCCCCTGAACTTTGTCCTATGATGGATATAATTTTAAGTTGTATTCTTCTTGGAACCTCGAATCTAAAATTTCATACATTTTCAATCAGAAGCACAGCTATGTTTTTTGGCCCAAATTTTTTGGGTAAAACTGCTTTTACGAGATAGAGACCATGATTCAAAATTCAAATTCAAGCATTTCCGATTATTTCCAATCCATTCGAATCTCTGTGAATGTGCTCAAATCCAGATGGCAAATTTGTCAAAAGTTCAAACTTTTCGAATTTTTGTACATCAATTCCAATCTTCATGAATTAATGTGTTAAAATCATCTCGATATTTTAAAGTCTGCTTACAAAAGAAGCACTGAAAAACACGTTGTTCAGCATGCAGCATACGAAATTACGACAGACCTAAGGCGGCAAGCATTTATAGTCATAAAATCCAAAAAATGTATATCTGATCAAAATAAACAATTTCAAATTGTAGCAATTTTCGAAAGTGGTAGGATGATATTTTCATATTTTATAAGTTTAAAATAGTTATAGTGACTATTATTAAAAACCTTTTCATAAACTGTTTGCGAATGCTGTGCTCGTTTCTGTTATAAATTTGTAGGCGTTACATAATTCGTAATTCATGATTTTACTTGTGCGTATGATAGTGTTGTGCAGCTCATGTAAAGTACAAATATTCCAAATATATCGCGTGTAAATGTTATACAAATATTCAATCTATATGTAATATGAATGATGTGTACAGTACAAGAACAAATCGTAACGGATGTGAAAATGTTTGGAAATTAACAGACAATTTAAATTAGATGATATTGTTTTTGTGAATCGTTTAGAGATATCCTTCAACAAAAGCTTTTCTCTCATTTTGTCTATCAGATGTTGATTCGGGCCTTTCTATTGTGCAAGCAACACACATGAATGTGTGTAACGAAAAAGGTAAATGTTGGCAAGTAATTGTCGAACCGAATATTCAAAATGCTTCGAGAATCGAAGAATCGGTACCGAAACGTAATTTTCGATTTAAATGAACGAGTATTAACTGCAACAATTTGCGTATACCCAACCCATAACCGTCTGGAGCATGCCTATAATGAACAGATTACGATATCAGGCACTGTGAAAACCCTTTAAAAGCGTATAACAATCCGGCATAGATGCTGTTTATGTGTGTAAGTGTGTGAGCAAAACAAAAACATAAACCGTTACCGACGACAACGATAACTCAAGCACCATGCTAAGTCAGTCAACCAGGCAGTTTATATTGTTAGGTATACACACACAAAGTGGTTTGTTGTTTTTGTTTCTGTTTCTGTTGTCGATGCGAGGCAAAAATAAACTGGTTACAATCCGACGTCGAATTGCAATACGACGAGCAAACGGTAAAGACAGCAAACAAAGTGAAGAGAGGAGCCGAGAAAGATTGACGATAAGCGATAACTACGAGTATAATATTAAAATAACACAATACTACAAAGGAGCATTAAAAAGCACACCGAGGCGAAAAATCATAAAGCGAATAGCGGAAATTGTTCGTTGAGCATTCGCTACTCCGGCTACGTTTTCACTGGTTTCACCACACCGTTATACCCATATATCTGCTTGAGCATCTATAAACTATGTTGAATGCAAACGATGCGAATGATATGAAAAAAGGAACAAAATACAAAATAGCAACGCATTTTCAACAATACAAAACAATGAACGCATTCACAGGAGAAAAGGAGAAAGAGAACGAAAGCAGATAGGCATCACGACAACGGGAGAGACAGAGAGAGAGAGCGAGTAAGCTCTCTTCATTTAATGTAATCTTAAGTGTAATTATGTGTACGACAATGACGGTATATTTTGGGTTGCTACAAGATCTAAATACGGATAATGGATAAATTTTACAAGTACGTAAATGGTGAGTGTGAAAACAGCTCTCACTCGCTTTCTCTCTCTTGCTTCGATTTTTCGCCGCTACTGATTTCGTTCGGTTCCTTCATTCGCTCGCATTTTCGACAAGTGCGAAGACCTTGCACGCGGAATTTTATTTACTTGTTGTTGTCTTGACAAAGGCAACTGTTTGTCTTCAATATCCTTACTTTTCTTGCTCATTTCGTAGCATCTTTATGAAAATACTACAAAATTGGCACTTAAAAATCGAAAATTTGCTCACATTACTGAATGCTATCGAGAGCATGAACATTGAGAACATGAAAGAACTCAAAATATCAAACATTAAGCGACTCTTCAACAAAACTCACAAAAAATGTTTCCACTTCATTTTATAACCGTTATGAATTTAATAATTCTTTATTTAGTGAATGTTATTATTCTACTTAAAAAGTCGTTTATTTACTTTTTTTTAATTTGGACGACAGTCAGACTTTTATTGTTGTGTTGCAGAAACATCCGTTGCTTATACCTATTCCAATGCGTCAATTCTAAGTAATAAATAAGTTTTTGTGTTCATGGCGTTTCTTTGCGGCACAAAATATACTTGACATTTTAGCACATAATACAAGTGCCTAGTCTCACTTGTCTTTTCATGAGTCAAGAGTAAACATCTTCACAATAATGTGAGTCGTTCCATGTACTTGTGCAAGTCGGCAAAATTATTCGCGTCAAATGGTGAACGAAAAGCGATCAAAAGAAATGAGAGTCTCGAAACCAGCTGATTCAAGGCAGCAGCGCACAAACAGACTCATAAATTTTATCGACTTCGAAAAATGCCAATAGATATTTGTATTTACCGAATCACATTACGCGAACAAAAAAGCGAATAACCGAATGCTGTGCGTTCTTTATTGTTTTAAAGTACCATTTTAAAATTTTATTTATTAATTGTGCGCGTCTAAAATTCATTCATTTATACACGTGGTTGTGTCCTTATGCAAAATTTTCGGCGACGCGACAAGCTCATGCTTGCCACTATGCGTTCGCTTATTTAAAAATTCAATGTCAATTTTTTTCGTATACCTCGTTTCGTTGAATGATCGCCAAATTTTACGGAGCATAATACCTCTCATTGTTGCAGACGACCAACAGGAATTCTTTAAGAAGGTAAATCAGCGACGCGTCTCGCAATAAAACTTTCTCAATAAATAACTATTAAATAATTTATGGTAGCATGAATGTCGTTTGTCTTTCGAAATAATAAACCATAAATAAGAAATGAAAGGGAAAAAAATGTTCGGTGGTTTATTCGGTTGGACGAATAGAGCGTGACACAGAAGGAATAACTGCGTTCAACTATGAAAATGAGAACAATGAGTGAACATCGGTCTGGGTAAGTTTTTAATGAGCTTTCATGCGGTGAAACAACACATTTTGTTGTTACATTGACTAAAAAACTTTTTGCGTTTGTTGTTTTCGTGAAGTTTTTAAGCATTTTCAAATATCGCTGGAATATAGAATGTTTACGGCTTTTCACCCTCGCATTTCGTCTGTATGCATACATTTTGTTGAACATTCCGAAAAATGAAGTGGAACGGACTGAGTTTTTGATGCATCAAACAACTGATTCTCTTCAACGGTGTTGATCATATTTAATTTTCTATAAAGTCAAAATTATGCGCCACTTATTCACATGTCATTTTCAGTGTAAGAACAGCAACTGACATAGATTACCGACTTTTGTGTCCGCTCTATACATTCATAGAGCACCAATTCAACGGCAACTAGCTTTTCAAGTTTCTAATGGCTGAAATAAAAGAATGTAAACATTTTAATTGTGCTTAATGGAAAATCATTTTCACCGAATAATTTCTTTTTCATTTAGCATCAATTATGTTTTACCATGATAAGATAATGGCAAGTATCTGGTACATACTTATCACTTATCTATTTTTTTTCTTCACTTACGAGGCTTTCTCTTTCGCTGTCTGTTTCCTTCTTCACTTGAGTGCATTTGTTTCGTATGACATTAATTATAGTTGTCGATTAAAGTGAATTGCGCCTGACACTTGTGCATATTTCCATCGAAGTACATCACACTCCACTATGCACACTAGTTCAGTACATTTTTCGCGATGGCTGCCTTAAGTGCTGCTGCTTTTTTTCCAATTCAGCACTAATTTTGTTTAACGCCGCCACGATTTATTGACTACCACAAAATTTATTACCTACTTGTCTCATCTGCATGTTGAACGCATTTGCTACAAGAAAAATTCATTGGTGTTCGTTCTCTTCCTCCATACCACTCTTTGTGTCGTGTAACGGTGTGCAGCGTTGAAATTAAATTATTAATCTGCCGTGTGTCTGTGCTATTGTCATTGTCCTTGTCATACCGTAAATGCGAATGGGATCTACTATTTTTTGCGCTAGCTTCGTTGTCACGGCACTCAAGTAATAAATTCAACTAATGTGTGTGCGAGCTTTGCACAATTTTCTAACCAAAAATTTTCGCTTTCATTCGTAATTAATTCTACATCGTCGCCGAAAAATTCATTAAATAGAATCTATTCGAACTTTTTCGGTTCACCGCCACACCAAATACATTACATTTCTGGCATGGTGGTCTGTCGGTTGCCGCTCAAAGCCGCATGACATAATGAAAATTAACAATAAAAATAAATGCAAACTCTCCATTAATTTTGTTTGAGCCTCTGGAGGGATAACCACTAC